GGCTGCCACGTAGCTCCAGGACACTTATTCTTTACTTCTCAAACGTAGGACTGTCCTCCCACCTCCAACCAGTTATGACATTCTTGTAGAACAGCTGAGGATGCCTTTGCTGTTGAAAACGCAGGATACTTGTTTGGTTTTTCCCCCCAAAAAAGTTATGCCTGAACTAACACTTTGGGGGAAAGCCTGTTTTTCATGCACCAGAGAAGCCCCTGATGGGAGATCCTTTTATAAAGTGAAGAAACCATTAGGAAAGCAATGTACTCTCTCTCAATGTCTCTATTTGACTATGTACGTGAATTGATGGAGCCTGTGTCTGTCTTTGAGAAGGGATGGAGCACCTATGTGTAGGACTTTTACTACACAGCTTATTTTTAAGCCCTCTCGGCCGCTCTGTGAGTTGGGTATCACTGATCCATTTGACTGGGGAAGACACAGGCTCAGGATGGTTGAGGGGTCTCAGAGCTGCTGAGGGAGGAGCTGAACTCGAACCCGGGTCGTCTCATCCCATCTGGAGTTCTACCCCATAACCCCCCTTAGAATTCAATGAGGAGGTAGTAATACCTTTGATATTATCTAATACTCAGAACAATGATCTAGTGATGTACGTATCATAATTAAAAATAAATTCATCCATTAAACCGAAAGATACCTCCTGGGATTATCCAGGGAAGCAGATAGAATAGGATAAAAACGTTCTTTTCCATGAATCAGAAGTAGCCAACTGGCCACCTTCTGGACCAAATACTGTAGGCAGACTTTTTCTACCCGCCTGAGGTTTGCCTTTTTTTTTTTTTAACTGACCTGATGTTCAAAACAAAATCAATAGATAGATTGTACTTTAAAATCTGGATTTAATTTTCTCTTGAAAAATCAGATCATTGGGCCTTGAATGATCTTTTGAAAAAGGACTCGGAGTGACCCACTCGGGCAGTGGACGGGAGCTGTAGCAGCGGCCCCTCTCCTTGGGGTGGGCAGGCTTTTTCTCGACCCCCACCCATTTACATTGCCTGCACTGGAGTTTGCAATGCCCACCCTGCATGATGAGGACGAGGGCCATGGAAATGGGGTACAGGGCACCCCCCGAATCAGAGAGTCCTGCACCCTCCATCTAGACCAGCGGTTCTCAACCTGTGGGTCGCGACCCCTTTGGGGGTTGAACGACCCTTCCACAGGGGTCGCCTAAGACCATCAGAAAACAAAAAGATATTTACATTACGATTCACAACAGTAGCAAAATTACAGTTATAGAGTAGCAACGAAAATAATTTTATGGTTGGGGGTCACCACAACATGAGGAACTGTATTAAGGGGTCGCGGCATTAGGAAGGTTGAGAACCGCTGATCTAGACTCTGAAAGAGGACATTCTCCCAGGGGTCAAGCTGCATTCTTGAAATGGCAGCTCCTGCTGAGAGCTGGCATCCCTGACAAATAGATTTCATGGAAGGATGGATGGCTGTGTTGTGTTAAGACTCAGACTGGCCAAGTTTTGAACCCAGCTCTACTATACCAGTGTGCGACTCTGGGAAAGCCATCTTATCTCCCTGTGTCCTTGTAAAATAGTAATATAATAATAACTACTTCCTAGGGCTGCTGGGAGGATTAATTGAGCCCCGTCGGTGATGTGCCTTACACATAGGAAGCACTCTCAGTTTTTATTCCTGTCCTTTTTCCTTTCCCAAACTGATGAATACGTGACTCCCTGGGGACATAGTCTGTTTATCACCATGAAATGTGATAACTCTGCTGAGACTTGTCCCAAACCTACAGAACATCAGGCAGTGGGGCCTGAAGGAAATCAGTCATTTCTTTCTCCTTTCTCTTGTCTTATAATTTGCTTTTTCTAAGAGCACATGCTGAGATGGGAGGGGACGTTTTGGCTTAAAAAATGTTCAGGGTTACTGATGGGAGAAATTGGCCTGGATTTTAGGGAGCCTGAAAACAACTTCAAGGCACGTATATTTCATCCTAGTAACACAATATCTTCATGGAATTTTTAACTTCACCTCCACCTTCTCCTCCCCTCTGAACATCTGTGTCCTGTCCCCACACACTTGGGCTCTGGTTTTGATATTTTGAGATGACAACTTGCTCCAGAGGTGTTTTCAGATATTTGTTCCCCTGATCAAACTGGACTTTCCCAAAGGATTTGGGGTATTAGAGTTTGAAACTCTCAGTATTGAAAAATTTTTTTTCTCTATTTGATGTTTTTCATATTTTATATCCTGGCAACTTGCTTTCTTTCCCTTGAAAACATATCGTGGACAGCCCTGCAAATCAATCCTAATTAACTCATTCAAATACACATACACAATTTTACATAATTGAGGTCGTAGCAAGCACGCTGGAGTTTTACAGGCAGGGTTTTTCTTAAGGTTCGTCTCTCCCAAATCAGCTCCCCTCTCCACTGTATATACCCTTCATATATACTCTTCTGTAGGACACTTCACGTTCTATAACTGCATACGTTATAGTCACACACATACTCATGAGTGTACACACACACCCAGGGGGTAGATTCTTCGTTGGTGCTGTATGAAATTGAGATCAGATTACACACACTTGTCTGCATCTTGCTATTCTCACTTTACAATTTTTCATGGAAGTCTGGAGTGCTCAAATTCATCCTTTTTTTTTTTTTTTTTTTTTAGCTGAGCCATCCCGCCACCTGTTGGCAGCTCACGGCTACTCAGCTCGGGCTGACTCGAACCGCTGTTGCTCAGAGCTCAAACTCTTGAGCGAGCTCTTAACCAACTGAGCCACTCAGCCGGCCCCCCCAAATTCATCCTTTTTAATGGTTTCATACTAGCCTGTTCTGTGGAGGGGCCGTAGAACAGCCTCCTTTGAATCGGTACGCCCTCTGTTTCTGGTGTTTAGCTGCTGTGACCAGCGCTGCAGTCAGTTCTGTCCTTAGATGCTGGGGCTGTCTGTCTACAGAGCAGAGCCTCAGAAGCGTGGTGCTGAGTCAAAAGGTTTGTGTAATCTAATTTAATAAATGGTGCCAGATAACTTTCCCAAAAGGCTGTAACAACTCACATTTCCTCCAGCAAAGTATAATGGTTCTTTTTCTCACTTCCCAAACAATGAGAGCTGCTTCTCACCCGCTCCCTTCTCTCTCCCTGCCTGCCCAATAAGCATAAAGAGAAATCCTAATGTTAATTTAATTTGCATTTCCCTGGCAACTAGCACGTTTGAGCATCGTTTTGTGTCAACTGGCTTTTTCAACCTGCTTTTCTGTGAATTTTTTGTTGCTGTCCTTTGCTAAATATTGTTCTTGTCATTTTGTGAGAGTGTTTTATGTGACAGATATTATCTCCTTGTTTCATCTGTATTAGAAATAATTTTTCATATCTATTACTTCATTTATAGTATTTTTTTTCCCATTAAAAAGTTTTACTTTTTTTTTTTTTAGTGTTAGAGGGGTTTTTTGTTTGTTTGTTTGTTTTTAAATGCAGCTTCCGGGATTTCTCTCTTCGTTAATAAGGGAGACATTTCATTTTAACGTCCTTTTATCCTCCACCCTGCTGTCAGAGCCCATGTCTCAGCTAACTCATCTCAGTGTGTCTTCAAAATGTCATGAACCCCCGAGCCAGGCATGGGAATTCAGCAAGGCATGCTGGGAACTGTTATCACAGGCTTCCCTTGGACCATGGGTCCACTCTCTGCCAGATCCTATAGCTGATACCAGCCTGGAATTTTGCCATCTCCAGCTCTTAGCCTCTGTCTTCCCTTCCCTCCCCCCACAGCCTCCTCCCCTATTTGCTCCTTAAATGGAAGTTTTCCTCCTGTTTTCCCAGCTCTCTTCTCTGTTTTGTCCTTTTTTATGGTGGGATAGATGTGGAATGTCCCTGAACTCTCCATGCCCCTGTTTTCAGAGGCTCCTGGGGTCCCAGGGTGCTTTCCTGCCCTCTGAGCAGTGGGGTAGCACCCCCCCTTCCCTGAACAACCCTCTCCCTAAAAAGATGTCTGCATCACTGTGGAGCTGCCTCAGTGTCTCTTTGCAGAGAGAGAATTCAGGACACACGTTTTCCTTGGCGCTCGTTTCTGGGTTTACCCCTCAGGATAAATCCCAAACACCTGGGCTTCCTGTTCAATACTCGCCCGCATTTCTTGAGCACTTACTATGTGCCGCACTCTGTGCCAAGCGCCCGTCCACGTGCTCTTGCGCTAGAATCTCACACACGCCTGTGATGCAAATTACTTTACAAACGAGGCCCCTAAAATGCATAGACGTTGTTAAGTCACCTGCCCACCGTCACCTAAGGAGCAGAGGGAAGAGGAAGCAAACGTGTCTCCCGAGCACTCTCCTCCGTAACCGCCTTCTGAGCCGGCCTTACTGCCCACCTTACTCCATGGCTTCCCCTCCTGGGTCCTCAGACACACCTGCAGCCTGGGCTGCTCCCTGGACTGTTCATCACGTCCCGCACGGATACGACATCTTGTCCATTCAATTCTTCACTCGCGCTTGAATTCATCCGCCTTGGCTGTGGATTTTCCCAGCTGGATTGTCGTCTCCACAGAGCAGGGTGCACGGTTTGACTTCTCTGTCACCGCCCACCTCAGCCCCCAAAGTGGTGGGACCGTTGGTTTTTACTTTTCAGGGACGTCCTCTGCCCGTCCCTAAAATGATGCTTAGCCAAGACTTCTGTAGGGATCCTGAATCTTCTTACATCTCACTTGGCTTTAAGATCCCTGCAGCGGTGAAACCTACACAGGTCCCTGCTTAACCGAAGCTCTTGACAACCAAACAGGTCTCTTCCCTACATGGGCCAGTTCTTGGCCATAGGAAGTAAAATCAGTGGGACATAGGAACCACACAAAAAAATAAAAATAAACGCTGGCACCCAAGGCACTTCCCCCGCACATTTTGCTTAGTCATGATAATGAGTGTGTAGCATCTATCACCCCCACATTACAGAGGGAACCCAGAGGAGATGAACTGGGACCAGACTGCATCTGGGACCCGGAGTCCTCCCCTCACTTCATCACACCCGCCAGCATGGGCCCGTCTGACCTCATTAGCAGCCCAAGAGGAGAAGTGAGCACCGTTCCTGCCCTCTGTGCTCTGTGAGGTGAAGGAGGTCCTTTTGCAACCCCACATCCTCTGTGTGTGAAGTGGCCAGGAAGCCACCAAGCGTGGAGCCACCTGTGCTGGGAAAGGCCCAGCAGTGCCATGCCCGGCTCCGGGAAGCACCAGGAGGGGTGTGTGTGTGTGTGGGGGGGAGCAGTGATGGGACAAAGTCAAGCCTGGGCTGAACACAGCTCCACTGTCGCTAAGAAAATCAAATCGCCTTGTGAGTCACGTGGCAGCTCCCTCCACAAGGAGCACACAGGCCAGTGTCCAGAGAGACTGCTCGTGCGTGCGGTTATGGGAGGCACCGCAGCCAACAAGAGGGCAGCACGGGGAGGCTGGGTTATTTGTATCTCGGGCCTTGTACTCGAAGCGTCTTGGGCTGGATAATTGTGCGCCTGCTACTGGGAGGCCCTTTCTCCGGTTTCCTGGGAGGGGCTTCTGCTCTGAGCTTGGGGGCCCCTCCCCCGCCAGCATCCCACAGGGCCCTGAAGAGTCACTTCCCCTGAAGGTTAGTGAAAAGCCCTGAGGCGTCCCTGGAGGCCCATTCTAGCCTCCCAGGCCCCGGGTTCCCCTCTGCCCTCCTGCCCTCCGTGTCACAGACAGCAGAACAGTAGCATGGCTAAGGGTGTGAATGAAAGAAAGCAAAACCTGCACTCATTCCTTCTTTGTCTGGTTTTCTGAGAAAACCTAAGGGGGGGTATCCCCCCAGGTGGGCCGGGCGTGGAGGCCTCTCTCCGTGTACTTCTCCCTTTACAGTTATTCTTCTTTCGGCTTTGAACCCCTTGATCCAGCTTGGTCCTAGTTCCTTTTTTTTAATTGAATTTTAGTTGGCATACAATATTCTATTAGTTTCAGGTGTGCAATAGAATGTCTCGACATGTATGGACCTTACAAGGTGATCACCTCACTCCATCCTGTAATCACCTGTCAACCGTGGATGTAAACTGGGCACAATAGTATCTGCCGGATTCCCACTTGTTACTGGTTTCTCGCCCACTTGCCTCTTAGTTGCTTTTAAAAGCCTCCGAGGCTATTTCAGGCACGCCGTCTCCTCTCCTGCAACTCCGACCCGGGGTCTCTCATTTGGAACAAACCTGCACTTGGTTCCGGTTGGAGGATGGGAGAGGGTTCGACTCTGAGAATCGTCTCTGGAAGGGGGTGGAGGAGGGCTGGGGGCCTTGACGTTCAAGAGCCGTGTGTGAGCCTGTTGGGGGTACAGGGCTGCATTTCCTCAGGGTCCCGAGCTCCCTGGCAGTGTCCCCAGTTCTGCCGGAACTTCGGTTCTCCACCTGCGTTGTCATCTACAGGAGAAAGATAACCTAAATAGCCTCAAGTTTCTTCACAGGGATGGTAAACTAAACAAGGAAAGAGCAAACCAGCCCCGCTCCTTACTTGGGCCTCAGGGAGTATCTTTGCGAGCCCCTTGTCTCACAGATGAGGAAGTAGAAGAGCTGAGGGGGGCGGAAAGTTCACACAGCCCCCCGATTGCTGGGTCAGTGGCCTCCCGGCCCCCCGGCTGCTCAGCTCTTGAAATAATGCATCTGGATTTTGCCTTCTGACCCTGCAGGAGAGAACACGTCCACCCAGAGACTTCACCCTTTACTCACACTCCCTCACCCCTTGGACCCACACGTGTCGCCTGGAGAGCTGCTGCTCAGGCCATTCACCCACCCGAGAGCCCTGAGGGCCCTGCTCTCACTTGAGAAACTAGCCTGGTCAGGCTGGGACCACAGGGCAGGCACACCATCAGGCTCCGGCCACCGGGCTTTTCTTTCCTGGCCCCTTCATGGTGCAGGGCCCTGGGTGGAAGGTGAGACCCTTCCCCATCTACAGAAGCCAGACGCAGGCTTCCCTCACATGGCTGGTCCTGCCCCCGTTACCCCACCCACATCCCAAGAGCATGGAAAAAGCCCTGCTACGTGTCGGGCAGCTCATCCCGGGAGTCCAGAATTACACCCCCTTTGGTCAGGCTGCAATTTTGTGGGATTCAGAAGGTTCCCATTTGTAAACTCCTCTGCCACCGAGATGCCATGCCAACCCACCTGGCCAGCCGACTGGGTCTGCAGGATGGGATAAAAATGGCAGCAGCAGATCCCTGCGACCCCCATGCAATTAATGCCTCAGGACCAACTGGCAACAGCCTGGCGCCCCTGTAATGGTGCAAGGGAGCCCACATTCCAACTGACAGCTACTGCGTCGCCATCAGTGTCTTCAGTGACAACAGCAACAGCTAAAATGGGAGAGAACGCTTATCATGTGCTGGGGCCTTATGTGTGTTATTTCATTTGGTCTTTATAACAATCAGATGAGATAAGTTGCCTTATTTTACAAGTGGGGAAACTGAGGATCAGTGAAGTTAAATGTCTTGCCTAAGATCACACATCTAGTAAGAGGCAGAGTTGGGGTTTGGACCCAAAGTGTCTGATCAAACACTATCCTGAGCATTCCCACGACCCCCCCCCCAGGGGACGATTTAAGCAGCATTTTACACATGAGTCTCTAAGCAGGTGAGTCAACTGCCCGAGATCCCACAACCTGTAAATTGTAGAGTGGGACGCAAACCTGGGCTGCCAAGCTCCAAATCCTGTGCCACCTCCACTGGCCTTGCTTCCTGGGTGCTGGCTGCCCGGAGTGGGACAGGAATGGCTGGGAGTGGCCCACTCCTAGCAGCTGCCAGCCTCCTGTGGCCATGGCATCTTCTTGCCCATGCCGTGGGGCTCATGGAGGCCGGCTTCCTGGGACTAAACTGAGTGCCCTGGCCCCAGGGCAAGTGAAAGCAGGCCTCCTGCAGATGGAGTGTGCCTCAAACTTTAAAAAAAAAAACCCAAAAAAACTATGATGTGCACTTTCTTAAAATTAAAATTATCACATTTATAAGATAAAATGAACATAGAATAAAAATCACCTTGGGCCGGCTGGGTGGCCTGTTGGTTAAGAGCTGGCTTGGGACGCCAGAGGGCCCCGGTTCGGATCCCACATATGAGGGCCAGTGACACTGCCCTCTATAGCTAAGATGCTGAACAACAGCTCAACCTGGAGCTGGGCTGCAGTGAGTCGCCGGCGACGGCGTAGGCTGCAGCCCCTGCTGCAGTGGGTTGCCATGGGCTACCATGTGTAGCCAGCAGCCAGCGTGAGCGGCCAGCAGCCGCCATGAGCAGCCCTCCAGAAGCTGGCGACTGATCTGCCTCACCTGGGAAACAGCGCAATGATGGTGCCAACTTGGGCCAGTGAAGCAACGTCCTCCACAACTAGACTGAAGAACAAAAGGACAGCAACTTGTCTGTTCCCCTTCCCCCAATTCCCCAGCACTATTCCCATCCCCCAATTCCCCAATAAAAATCTTTAAAAAAAAATCACCTTAATAAGTACAATTTGGATGGCTGGGTTGCTCAGTTGGTTAGAGCGTGCACTCTGAACAACAAAGTTGCTGGTTTGATCCCCACATGGGCCACTTTGAGCTGCACCCTCCTTAAAAAAAAAAAGTACAATTTGATGAGTGTTGGCAACTGTTTACAGTACTGTAACCACCACAAGATGCAGATCACAATCAAGATACAGGACATTTCCATCACCTCAAAAGTTCCCTCAAACTCTTTGCAGTCTAAGACAGCCAGTGACCTGCTTTCTGTCATAGCGTTGCCTTTTTAAGAATGTTACGTTACGGGAATCTACGGGAATCATACTGGTGGGCTCTTGCGTCTGACTTCTTTCACTTGGCATCATGCTTTTGAGATCCATCGTGCGGTTGTGCGTATCCCCAGCTCATGTCCTTGTAGCGCCGAGTCGTACTCTGTGATCTGCGTGTAACAGGGCGTGTCTGTTTGTCCACTCACCAACAGATGGGCATTGAGGTTGTTTCTAGATCTGGGCTGTGAATCATACAGCTGCTCAAAAGATTTGCACGCAAATGTTCATGTGGACACACGTCTTCACCTCTTGGGCACATATCTAAGAGTGGGATTGTTGGGTCTTGGGGTTGGTGTGTGTTTACCTTGAGGAGAAGCTTCCGAAAGAGTCTTCCAAGTAGCCATGCCATCTAGCATCCCCGCCAATGGTGGAGGGCGTTCCAGTTGCTCTGCCAGCTCCCCAATGTTTGGTGGTGTCAGTTTATTTCACGTTTGTCATTCTTGTGGGTGTGGAGGGGTATCTCTTTGCAGTCTTCATTTGTGTTTATTGAATGACTAATGTACTTACTCGCCATTTTTATATCTTCTTTGGTGAAGTGTCTGTTCAAATCCATTGCCCGTTTTTTACTGGATCGTTTGTCTTCCTGTTGCTGAATTTGATGGGTGCTTTTTAACCCCAAAATGTGGCCTCCCAGATGTTTTTGCTGCTGGAGGCAGCGTGGTGCTGGGGTTAGGGACACAGGCCTTAGGAGCTTATCTGCGCATGGATTCTAGACGTTTACCATTAACAGCTGTGCAATCCTGGACCAGTTACTTGACCTCTCTGAGTATCAGTTTCCTCATCAGGAAAATGGAGTTTGTTACAAAACCCATGTCACAGAGCTGTTGTGAAGACTGGGTGAGATGATCTTACCGTAGCACCTGGCACAATTCACAGTCAGTACATTAGCTGCTTTAGTATTACTGAGAAAATACACGACAAAAAGCTACTACTGATTCAAAACCAGCTTCTTCAGAGAGACACCTGGGCAATGGTAACCGTAGGTGTAGACAGAATCACTCAGCACACCTGCCGAGGGTGCTGGACACAGAGTAGCCCGCAGTCACTCAGCACACGCAGGTCTGGACACACAGGACTGCTGCCCCAGCGTGCCCTCAGTCAGCACCTGGAGGGGACACTCCGTGCATCAGCCCTGGGCCCAAACGGAGTGGCCGGAGGGAAGGGCAGGTGGAGACAGGTCTGGCTGAAGGCCAAACCCCCACCTTCCCCAGTTTCTCCTCTTCGTGCCGGGAGGCCAGCTGTTTGGCTCTAATAAACCCCAAAAGACCTTTTAAGGGAAGCAACTAAACTCAGTTGGGCACTTCTCGTCTCTTCTTTGGAGGGTATAGCAAGGGGCAATGGGAAAGGTAATTACAATATCAGCATCAAGACCCCTTTGGCCCCATCCCAGCCGAACAGGTTTCTAGGGCAGGTAGAGCCTGTCCTGTGTTTTACACGAAACCTCTGATATACCAGACATCGTGGGCTTCCGTCTAGAGCCTCCCCAGGCAGCCAAGGCGTGGAGGGCAGCCTTGGTGTCTGAGGAGAGACAGACCAGAGATGGGGGTTCTGTTGTCACATGGGACCCACACCCCCCTTTACCTCAACTTTGCTCCTTCCTGAAATGTATCTGAAAATATCAATAGCCAACAGGAAGATGCAACCACTCTAGATAAAGAAATAGATACATTTTAAGTATGTTTTTAACTATAGCATGTTTTAGGGTATATTGGGGTATTGAAACTGGAGAAGACAGGTACCCAGAAAAGGGGATAAGAAATTGGAATGGATTTTTAGCTCCAAGTAGCAATGGGAGGTTCAGATGGTTCAGTGTGGCATTCG